GTTTATGGGTAAGAGTGTGAACTATGAAGGCTGTGGGTCTTAGCAAAGGTACTTAACTTCCGTGGACTGGACTCACTTCCTTCATCTGTAACTGGGCATGATAATGCTATCTGTTTGATGGGACTGTGGTGAGGAGTCAATGAATTAATGTAAGAAAAGTGCTGAGGACAATCTCTAACACATAATAATGGCAGACTCAACATGTCATTCATTTCTTCATTAAAAAAAAAAACAAAAAACTAAAATCTCTCAGCTATATTGCCAGCTACACTCACTCATATGACCTCATTTAGCCCCCATCTCTTTTTCCTTTCCATCTACTTGTCACAAACTCCAGCACCCAAAATGCCTAGTGAAAGTTCTTTTTATACCCATAGGTACTTCTCAAGCCCTGCAGCTTGTATCTTCCTCCATCTGAGCATCTCAGTAAACTTTCAAGACTGAACGCAGAGCACTAAGGAATTAAAAAAGACTGTGCAACCCCTCAGTCATAGCCTCCAATGGTTACTGATAATCCATAACCTACAGCCTGCTCTGAGAGGACTATGCACATCATGCACTTGCTTCAACACTCAAAACAAGATTCAGAGTTGATTTAACCTACCCCTGCCGAAGGTTACAAACATCCCATATCTCAAAACAAAGGCAGTCTTTGCAGCTGCAGTACACCTTATTTTTGTGACATATGCTGCTTTTTAAACATTTGGCTTGCCAAGCAAATCCTACAGAGATCAGTTCATTCCTTCTAGTAGTCTTTTTGCTTGCAAGGCTAAGAGCTGCTATCTGATGAAAAGCCATGCCTCGGGGTAGAGCATTGCATGGGAAATTGATTCTTAAACATCTAATTAATTACTGTGTTTCCTTAAATATTGAACTCCTTATTAAAATATCATATATGCTTTGAATGATTGCAAATTACTGTTTAGATGCTTTTGGCTGCAAATAAGAGAATGACAAATTGCTTAAAAGATAAAGAATTTTTTAAATCCCATATAAGAAATTTGGAAGGCAGTAAAATTAGTTTATTTAGCAATTCAATAATTCATTGAAAATCCAAGTTTCTTCCATCTTTCTACTCTAATCATCATAAACTCATAGATTAACAGATGGCTGTAGCAGCTCCAGGCATCATATCCTCAAATCATTTCATTGTACCTTTTTTAAGAGGAAAGAAAACTTTTTCAAAAGTGCCCCAACTTCCCCAACTTCCCTCACATCTCATTGGCCAGCATTGTGTCACTTGTTCCTACCTATACCAATCATTCAGCAGGAAACTGGAATAACCAATCTGATCAAGATTCACCCAGGACTAGGCAGATAACCTATACTCCCCTGGAATAGGATTAACCTATTGAGGCTCTGTTAAACAAAAAAAAAAGAGAAAATATAGTGAATGTTTTGTTGTCGTTGTTGTTGTTATTGTTGTTGTTAGGGAAAAAAGTAAATACAGCAAATTTAAATCAAGATATCATTTTGGGAAAATTTTTAAATGGAAGCTTCAAGGTACTATTTAACTTTTTCAACTCCAACTAAGTAACTAGATTTTGTGGACGAGGCGTGGTGGCTCACACCTGTAATCCCAGCACTTTGGGATGCTGAAGCGGGTGGATCACCTGACGTCAGGAGTTCAAGACCAGCTGGCTAACATGGAGAAACCCTGTTTCTACTAAAAATACAAAAGAATAGCCGGGCGTGGTGGTTCACACCTCTAATCCCAGCTACTCAGGAGGCTGAGGCAGGAGAATGGCTTGAACCCGGGAGGTGGAGGTTGCAGTGAGCTGAGATTACGCCATTGCACCCCAGCTTGGGCAACGAGAGTGAAACTCTGTCTCAAAAAAAAAAGAAAATTAGATTTTTTGTCTCAGTGTGATCCCATGCCAGTCTGCAAACTGTTTGTGATGAGTACAAAATGAGGTAAGTATGCTTATCTCACATAAGTATAGATATATTGAAAAAAATTAGATACTTTTATAACAATTCGATAGTCTAATTTTATATCTGTTAAATCTAATAAAACTTTAGAGCTTTTTTTTTATGTCTTGGTTTTTTACTGTTAGTAATTGATTTTTATTGTAGTCCACAAAATTATCAGTTTGTAATGAACTGGAGATTGGAACAACAACAAAACAGTCATTCACTAGAGATAGATCGTGCTATCCAACTTGTCTAATTTTTGTGTAAATTGTATACTTTTAGAACAGCTTAAAGCTCAGCAGTTTTCCCCCCCAAACTGATTGGACCATAAGAGTTTGAGAGCTAAAGATACAGGCTGAACATTGTAAACTATACCTGGATGCAGAAATTATATTTAAAAATAAAACTGACTAGGATAAATTAATGAGCCCTCAGTCAGAGGTCCGTTTCCCTGTGGACTACTCAGTTCCAGAAGAGGCTAAACCCTTAACTTTGGCCAGCCCCTGGGCACAACATCAAGTAAAAAGGAATTAGAAAGTTCTGTATTACTTTGGCCAGGCTGGCATTATTAGAAAAACATGGTAGGTCCTGTCCTAATAAAAGATGAGAAAAGTCCTAAGGATGAGCAAAATAAAATGCCATGCCAAGGATCCATATCTGTAGATAAGGAATCGATTCAAAGTTCATATTTTTGTTCCTCAAAATGGGAAAATATTACCTACATTCAATTAGCACTTTTGCCCTTTTGCTATGGAAAATGTGTTTTGTGATTAGTCCCTTTCATTTTTATTTCCTCAGACAACAAATTAATTCTTATACTTCTCTATAGAGGACAGGACAAACTTGTAGTTAATATTGAAGATTAGGAAATGACCTTAGCCACAATTATCATACATCAATAACACATTTCCAAAACCCAAGAAAGAACCTCTCACCTACTTTAGTATGTTTACTCAGTGGATTTAAAGTAACCTTTCAAATCACCAACTGCAAAGACAACATTCCACCTCAAAATGTATTCAAATTGGACTCTTGAATTGTACTTTTATGGAATTAACCTACCATCTTCTTATGAAAAAGTCACCTGACATCCCTGGGTGCACTAGCCAGTACACAAAGGAAGCAAGGGGTTCAACAGTTAGGAGGACAGTTTGCACACGATCTGCACATGTTTATCATCAAATCAAAGCTTGATGAAGATTGATGATGGCATTTGTTGATGGGTTATGCTTTCTTCCCCTTATTTATTTCACAATGGTTATCATGGCAAAGCTCTCCAAATGATGTTTTTGAGTGTTCAATTTTAAGAATGCAAGTTCAAGTATGCTTTCTTCCTCACTACAAAAGAATATGATTTCAAATATTCAACAAATTGGTTTACCTAATGGTCTCTTTGTAGGGGTCTCCCACTATCCTGCTACCCACTATCACCCCAATAAATACTCTAGTGATATAACCTCTTCAACAGTTACCATCATTGAACTTTATAAACATAACACCATATACCTTCAACCATGTACATGTTCCCAACCAGTTTCCACAAAGAGCTAAATTTAAGCCTGCTATAAGAGAGAATCGAAATTTGGTTTGCTTTCTTTTAGACTCTGCTACATAGACTTTAAACATGCAGAAGAGCTGACTTTGCCAACAAAGCTCATCCTTCTTTTTTCCGAAGCAGCCAGCTGTGACTTCATTTTGGATTTAGGCTATGATTTTTCTGATTTTTCTCTTTGCATGTGAATGTTTATTTGTGAAGTCTTGAACTTCATGCTACTTCCAACTCTAGAAATGATTTGGGCAAGCTGCCATGTTTATAATCTTAAAGCCTCCAGCTTCCCAGATAATACAAACTCTCTCTCGTTATTTAATTAATGTCAAACTCATAATGTGATGCAACATTGCTGTTGGAAGATTTCTGTTTTTCCAACGTGTCTATTCTCCTACTTACTCCTAACTAGAATGAGTAAACCTGAATAAATCAGAGACATCTTTACAGGCAAATGATTAAAGGGTGTGACTGCCTGCCATAATATTGGAACAAGATCTGGGGGAAAATATTAATGAATAAAGGATTATAACCCTGGACAAGCAAGCTAATGCAGCTTAAATACATAACAGTTTCCCCAAAAACTAAATTGGATTTTATACTATATATAATTATATTCCATGCATCTCTATATTATAGCATCTTAAACAATGTAGATAACTACTAAATATTGGTTAAACAAATGAGTGAATGAAAAAAATCTACAAGATATACCACCTTGTTGGAAAGATAGGTTCTTGGCTGCCTTAAGTTTCCCATAAATAAACCAGGGGCCAGGGGTGGTGCTCACACCTGTAATGCCAGCACTTTGGGAGGCCAATGCAGGAAGATCACTTGAGTCCAGGAGTTCAAGACCAGCCTGGGCAAAATGGTGAAACCTCCTCTCCACAAAAAATAAAAAATACTTAGCGTGGAGTGGTGGTGCAAGTTTATGGTCCCACCTACAGAGGAGGCTTCGGCAGGAGGATCACTTGGGCCCAGGAGGTTAAGGCTGCGGTGAGCCACGATCATGTCACTGCATTCCAACCTGGGCTACAGAGCAAAACCCTGTCTCAAAAAATAAATAAATAAACAATGTGTATGGCAATCACAGTCCTTGGTACCAAAGACCAAACTCCAAGCCTATCTGAAGACATCTGATGTTATAGTCATTGGAAAATGAAAGGGGAAGGAGGGGGCTAAGGGGAGCAACGAAAGGTTGACTGTGTTTTCTTCTGGCAGTCTGCTTTCACAGCCAGTACTATGCCTGTGGCCATCTCCCAGGCTCAGGAGATCACCTGGGGAGCCTATCTTACTCTAGCCCGTCAGATTCACTTTCCCAGGAACTGGAAGTAGAACTTTGATATGGTTTGCATTTGTGTCCCTGACTAAATCTCACGTCAAACTGTAATCCCTAGTGTTGGAGGAGGGGCCTGGTGGGAGGTGGCTGAGTCACGGGGGTGGATATCCCCACTGCTGTTCTCAGGATAGTGAGTGAGTTCTTATGAGATGTGGTTGTTTAAAAATGTGTGGTACCTCCCGCCTCTCTTTTTTTTTGGGGGGGGGGTACCAAATTTCTTTATTTGAAGGAAGGGTACAAATCAAAGAACTTAAGTGGATGTTTTGGTACAACTTATAGAAAAGGTAAAGGAAACCCCAACACATGCATGCACTACCTTGGTGACCAGGGAATTCACCCCATGGATATGGGGAAATTAGCCTGAGGCTTAGCTTTCATTATCACTGTCTCCCAGGGTGTGCTTGTCAAAGAGATACTCTGCCAAGCCAGATTCGGGTGCTCCCATCTTGCACAAGTTGGTCACGTGGTCACCCAATTCTTTGATGGCTTTCACCTGCTCATTCAGGTAATACGTCTGGATGAAATCACACAGATGGGGGTCATTTTTGTCAGTGGCCAGTTTGTGCAGTTCCAGTAGTGACTGATTCACATTTTTTTCCAAATGTAATGCACACTCCATGGCATTCAGCCCACTCTCCCAGTCGTCATAGTCTGGTTTCTTGATATCCTGAAGGAAGATTCGGCCACCTCGTTGGTTCTGCAGCTTCATCAGTTTCTCGGCATGTTCCCTTTCCTCATGAGATTGGTGAAGAAAGTATTTGGCAAAGTTCTTCAAAGCCACATCATCACGGTCAAAGTAGTAAGACATGGACAGGTAAAGGTAGGAAGCGTAGCGCTCCAGGTTGATCTGGCGGTTGCTGGCGGCCTCTGAGTCCTGGTGGTAGTTCTGGCGCACCTGCGAGGTGGACGCGGTGGTCATGGCGGAGGCTAAGGACAGGCGGCGGCGGCGGCGGTGGCCGCGCGGTGCTGGAGCGGCGGGCGGCGGGGACCTTGGGGCGGTCCAAGGGCGCGGTGAAGAGGTGAGGGAGGGCTGGCTATGGGCGGCCGGCCGAGATGGGGGACGGGGGACGAGCGCCGGGTTCCGTCCCAGCACTGTTGAAGCAGGAAACCCCGACGACTCTCAGCGAAGAACGTCTGGCCCCGCTTCTCTTTCTTCCGCCGGCTCCAGCCATGTAAGACATGTCTCCTTCTTCTTTGCCTTGTGTCGTGATTGTAAGTTTTCTGAGGCCTCCTCTGCCATACTTCCTGTACAGCCTGCAGAACTGTGAGTCTATACATTACCCAGTCTCAGGTACTCCTTTATAGCAATGTGAGAACGTACTTACACGAACGTCTATCTCTGCTGATCACTTCCGGGAAAGACATCTAAACCAGGGAGCTACAGGGTGGCCATTTCCAAGCATGCCAAAGCAGAGAAAGTCTACAGAGAAAGAGAATGAGGCAGATGGCAGGGAGAGCTGCGGGGATCAGAGCTGGACAGGAAGGCCTGCCTGTGCTCCCAGCTCACATCTTGTGAAGCGTGGTCATCCTTGAGTTGCTTGAGATGACTCAGTATCCAAGATGTCTGGGTGATAAAATGGCAGGGTGGAAGAAAAACTAAAATGGGAGTGAGTGAATGTAATAATAGTATAGACTTCCTTTGAGGGCTCTGTGAGCCACTGAAGGGTTTTAAGCAGAGTGACCCATGTTGGGATACACACCTTTACAATCAGCCCCGACTGGCTGAAAGTAGAGAATGGGTTAGAATGGAGGAAGATTGCAATTAGGAGGCTTTTGTGGTCGTTTAACAGCCTATGGTCCCAGGGAAGTATCTGTTGCTCACATGTAATGCTGCCTACTAGCATAATTTAAACGCACAGGCTATTTCTCTTCAAAAGGGCATATATTATGTAACATCTCTAACCATTACATGAAAACTCATTCTTTGTCACCCAGCATCAACGAATTATTAGATTATTGGCCCAAAACCTCCATGATTATATAATGTACATTAGGGCTAGAAGTTAAGTCACCAGAGAGTTTCCAATATTTAATAGTGCCATATTTCACAACTGCCCAGAGAGAATATCAGTCTACTACTCTGTTAGCATGGTATCCAACATTGCTTCCTTAATGTTGTAGATCCTTTCCTAAACCTGTCAAAGCAAATTTCAACAAACGAATTCATAACATAACATTTGTGGTAGCAGATATTTTGCTAATTTCACAAAATTCTTCTAAATCCTTTAAGGTTTGGGACTCGCTACACTTCTGATTATAACTGAATATTAAGCTAGCTAAAAAGAGGTAAAGTGCAAATTAGGTACTGAAATGGTGACTGTCATGGCTCTGCAATAAGAAAGAATTTAGCTTTCTACAATTACTTGAGCCCTATAGCTTCCATGTCACCTGGAATACATATTTAAAACTGACTTTCAACGAAAAAAGAAAAAGCACAAAAACAAATTCCTTTTAAGATTGTTTCACTGGCCCTAGTATTTACCATTTTTTTAAATTAAAAATCTTGAGAATTCAAGTTTTCCTATAACTTGTCTTTATAGATTTTTGTCTTAGACTTAAGTGGGCATAAGTGTTATACTACCTCATATTTCTCTCTGTATGATAAGCCCAAATATTCCTTAACTGTGTTTGATCTACTTTGTGGTCAAAATATGGGGGATAGGAGAGAGGTCCTCATCAAAACTCAAGATTAGCAAAAGCTGAGGAATTTTATCAACACCAGACCTGTCATACAAGAAATATTACAGGGAGTTCTTCAATCTGCAAGACAAGGATGTTAACAAGCAAGAAGAAATCATCTGAAAATTAGTAGAACTTGAATGTTCCTAACACAAAGAAATGACTTATGTTTAAGGTGACGAATATCCAAGTACCCTAATTTGATCATTACACATTGCATGCCTGTCTCAAAATATCACATAAATACGTACAACTGTTATGTACCTAAACAAATTTTTCAAAATAATTTTTTTTAACTTTTTTTACCTTTTTAAAATCTCAAGTTTAGGGCACCTGGATTCTGTCAGTTGAAAACTTATACTAAAGCCTCAAAAAAAACCCAAAGGTTTTTCTGGCAGCGAAGTTATTAAACAGGGTCAGAAAGTAATCCTGTTTAATCAGTCAAAAACCTAAATAAGACCACTAATGCTAAGATTCACCAGCTGCAGAAGGTTGGCATACTAAAAAATGGATCAAGAGTAATTTTTCCCAGTTGTAAGAATAATGAAGGCATTAATACAATAATAAAAAAAGAATAGCTAAATCTGCCTAGCATTTAGTAGATACTCACAATGTAGTATTCACAGTGCCTTGCATGCTTGGAGTCATTTAATAATCAAAACAACCCTATGAGGTATGTGCTATTATGATCCCTATATTATAACAGAAGCTACCAAGGCATAAATAAGCTAAGTAACTTCCCCAAGGTCACACAACCTATAAGTGGTAGAGTAAGATTTCAGCATTCACATTCTGAACTACTTCCCAAGGCCCAGATGTTACTTTAAATTAAAAATCACTACATTATTTAGCACAATGAAAGTAGAAAGCAAAACCCAACTCAGGATAAATTGCAGGCTCTCCTGCACTGTCTCCGCCATCACCTTCATTGAAAGAAGTTTAAGGGGCTCCACTTGTGATTGTTAATTTTATGGGTCAACTTGACTGGGCCACAGGATGCCACGATACCTAATTAAACATTATTTGTGGATGTGTCTGTGAGGGTAGTTCCAAAAGAGGTTAGCATTTGAATTGGTAGATAGAGTAAAGCAGATTGCGCTCTCCAATGTGTATGGGCATCATCCAATCTGTGGAGGGCCCAAATAGAACAAAAAGGCAGAGGAAGGTTGAACTGGCCCTCTCTGCCTCAATGCTTGAGCTGAAACATCGGCATTCTCCCACCCTTGGACTGGGACTTACACCATTGATGTGCCTGGTTTTCAGGCCTTCAGGCTTGGACTGGAATTTACCACCAGCTTTCCTGGGGCTCCAACTTGCAGAGAGCAGAGGATGGGACTTTTCAGCCTGCACAATTGTGTGAGCCAATTCTTTAAATCTCTCTCTCTCTCTGTCTCTCTCTCTCTCGCACTCTCTCTCTCTCTCTATATATATATATATAATATATATATACATAAAGTCGTCCCACAGTATCCATGGATGATTGTTTCCAGGACTTCCTGAGGATAATCTTTGGGGATTCTCAAGGCCCTGATATAAAATGATACAGTATTTACATATAACCTATGTACCAGCCTCCCATATATATATATATATATATATATTTTTTTTTTTTACATATGCACAACGTGCAGGTTTGTTACATATGTATACTTGTGCCATGTTGGTGTGCTGCACCCATCAACTCATCAGCACCCATCAACTCGTCATTTACATCAGGTATAACTCCCAATGCCATCCCTCCCATATATTTTGAATTATCTCAAGGTCACTTATAAAACCTAATGTAAATAGTTGTTGTACTGTATTGTTTAGGGAATAATGACAAGAAAAAACTCTGTATATGTATAATACATATGCAATTGTTTAAAGTATTTTCAGTCCACAGTTGGTTGAATCCATGGATGTGGAATCCATGGACACAGAGGATTGGCTATATATAAATCTCATTTTTATCTCATATGTATATATACAGATTATACACACACACTCATAGGCAGACATACAGTCATACATCACTTAACAACAAGGATATATCCTGAGGAATGTGGTGTTATGTGATTTCATCCTTGTATGAACATCATAGAGTGTATGTACACAAACCTAGATGGTATAGCCTGCTCCATACCTAGGCTATATGTATAGCTTACTGCTCCTTGGCTACAAACCAGTACAGCATGTTACTGAACTAAATACTATAGACAACTGTAACACAATGGCATTTGTATACCTAGACATACAAAAGGTACATTAAAATGCAGTAAAAAAGATAAAAAATGGTACACTCGTATGGGACACATGCATGAGTGCTGCTTGCAGGACTGGAAGTTTCTCTGGGTGAGTCAGTGAGTGAATGATGAGTGAATGTGAAGGCTTGGAACATTACTGTACACTATGATGGACTTCATAAACATTGTATATTTAGGCTACACTAAACTTTTTTTTTTTTTTTTTGAGACGGAGTCTCACTCTGTTGCCTAGGCTGGAATGCAATGGCGCCATCTTGGCTCACTGCAACCTCCGCCTCCAGGGTTCAAGCAATTCTCCTGCCTCAGCCTCCTGAGTAGCTGGGATTACAGGCACGCACAACCATCCCCGGCTAATTTCTGTATTTTTAATAGAGACGGGGTTTCACCATGTTGGTCAGGCTGGTCTTGAACTCCTGACCTTGTGATCCGCCTGCCTCAGCCTCCCAAAGCGCTGGGATGACATGCGTGAGCGACCACGCCTGGTTACACTAAACTTATTTGAAAATATTTTTCTTTCTTCACTAAATTAACTTCAGCTTAATGTAACTTTTTACTTCATAAACTTAAAAATTTTTAACTCTTATAATAACACAGTTTAAAGCACACATTGTACAACTGCTCAAAAATATTTTCTATTTTTGCTCTAAGATAGTTTTATATCTTTGTCCTATAAGCTTGTTTCCATTAAAAATTTTTTTAAACATTTTTGTTAAAAACTAAGACACAAACACACATAGTAGCCTAGGCCTACACAGTGCCAGGATCATCAATATCACTGTTTTCCACCTCCACATCTTTTCCTGCTGGAAGGTCTTCAGGGGCAGTAACATGCATGGAGCTGTCATCTCCTGTGATAACAATGCCTTCTTCTGAATACCTCCTGAAGGATCTGCCTGAGGCTGTTTTACAGTTACCAGTTGGTTTGTTTTTTAATAAATAGAGGGAGTATACTCTAAAATAACAATAAGATGTAGAGTAAATATTAGGCCATTGGAATTTTTCAGCTCTATTAAAATCTTATGGGACCACTGTCATATATGCAGTCCATCACTGACTGAAACACTGTTATGTAGAGTATGACTGCGTGTGTATATATGTGTAAGAAATGTATTGTAAAGAAATGACTGTATATCTCCAATCGATTCTGTTTCTCTGGAGGACCCTGAATAATACACCATTCTTGTATTAGTCTCTAAACTCTCTCCTGGGAGCCAATTTAAAAAGAGACAAATGTACAAATAAATGGCATCCTCAAGACTTTCTGTGTCAAA